AAAACTTTGACGAAATTGGTATAGAAGGACTTTACCATAAAATGATAAAAGTTATTGATGACAAACCCATTTCTAGTATTATACTCAGTGGGGAAAAACAGAACATTGCCTCTAAAATCAGATACAAGACAACGGTGTTCACTCTCAACATTCCTGTTCAAAATAGTACTTGAAATTTTAGCCAGAACAATTAGGTAAGAGAAAGAGATTAAGGGGATTTAATTAGGAAAGGAAGTCAAACTATCCTTATTTACAGATGACATGATCCTTTAAGTAGAGGACCAAAAACTCCACCTGAAAACTTGTAAAATTAATAAATTCAGCAAAATGTCAGGAGTCAATATAAACACACAAAAATCAACAGCCTTTTCATACACTGAGAATGAACTCATTCAGAAAGTAATTAGAACAATCTCATTCATAGTAGCTTCAAAAAACTTAAATATCTAGAAATTAACCTAATCAAGAAAGTGAAAAACTTCTATAACAAAAAGTATATACTCTGAAAAAAGAGATGGAAGAGGACATTAGAAAATGGAATGACATTTGCTGTTCTTGGATAGGTAGAACTAAATATAGCCCAAATGGCTGCATATATTAGTCAGCCCTAAAGAAGGATAAATTTGAGTCATTTGAAGGAAAGTAAATGGATCCAGAGATCATAATGTCAAGTGAAATACATCAGAAACATAAGGATAAATATTTCATGGCTTCTCTTATATGAGAAACTCAAAATATAAATAACAATGAAATAAAAGAAAAATGGTAGGAAATCAGGGTAGATTTTGTGGATCTACAGAAGGGAAGAGGAGAGAGGACAGAGGAAAGGGAAGTAAAATTGATCAAGATGCAATAGGTATATGTATGATTGTTGTATTATGTTTTGTAAACACCTATTTAGACATTATTTTAGAATTTCATTTGTATTTTTAAATTTTGGAGTTCATTAACTCTTTCATGTCTTAAGCACTTATGTAAGTACATGGAAAATTGTAGCACTAATGCCCATATATTCAGAGGTAAATCACCTTTCCTTAAAAACAGCAAGGAAATAAACTCGGAAACCACAAGCCAGCTAGGAATAGCCAGGCTTTATTTATTGTGGACCTCAGGCACGGTCGTAGCCTACCCTGCTGTTAAGTATTCTCAGCACTCACTGGTCCTAAAAATCTGCTCTTGTGCCTTTGGCCTTACCTTCCTACTCCCAGATACCTGGTAAACTCATTACCCATAAACCAAGATGGCCTGCCCGGGCACCCAGCGAATGAGGTGCCTAAGGCTTCACCTCACGTCTCTGTAGACCGATGCAAGTGAAACTTCCCTCCAGGTGAAAGGATAACACCACACTATCACAAATATGTTTTCAATTAGGGTGAATCCCATTGTGAAGGGCTCCTGTTAGGAGTCAAGAAAAGAGCTATCGCGAGCACTGGTGATGTAAGGAAGCAGAGATACTGGAGTAGCAGCAGCAGTCTCTAGGCCCAGTGGTGGCAGGCAGCTGCCAGCAGCGACATCTAGTGTTCCAGGAGTGGCTTTAGCAGCCCATTTAGATGTGTGACAGTCTGTGCTCCTGTCAAACCTAGTTCTGCAGGCTTTTTGGTGATTTTGTGAGCTACCCAGTATCCTTTAATAAATAATTTATTTCCTTAAATAAGTCAGAGTAACTACCTAGGGTTTCCAACTGAAAACTTTAACATAAATGTTGGGCAGAGTTCCAGAACCAAAATATGCTAGGTAAGATACATTTGGGTAGGGACTGGGCTTTCATGAGAAATCCAGGAGGCAGATCTTCCAGACAGACACTCAGCATGTAACGGGGATGGTGAGGTGGTGGTAGCGACAGTGGAAATGGGTGGGACTGGACTGGAAAGACCAGTAGAGGCAGGTTTGACAGAGAAGGTAGCAGGAGTGTCACTGGGGGTAGGGTTCCCCATCCCTTCCTAAGCCATAGCTCCAACCTAGTTTCAGCCCCAGCTGCCTCATGTGTGCCCCAACCCCATCACCAGCTCCCAATAGCCCCAAGTTCAGCCAAGTCCTTGTCCCTGCCCCTGTCCACTCATACAAGACTTAGGAGACTTGCGTCAGCTCCTCATCCAGCCAACTGGTCATCCAAGCAAACTTGTTCCTATGCACAAAGAGCCCCATCTCCTCTATGTTATCCATCTTGAAGGATGTGATCCCATGGCCCTGAATCACAAACCCAAAACTTGTGTCCTCATCCCCTTCCCAGGTTCATGTTCTTCTGCTGCTTTTCTAGCCCTTGGGCCTGAGCTTTGAGATCTGGGTTGACTTCCCAGTGGGCTGATCTCTGGGTGAGCTGGGGAAGGGGAAGACTTCAGGGACAGGAGGCAGCTCTGTTAGATCGTAGCAGCCCAAGATCAACCGAGCCACACCAGAAATCTTGATCTTTTTGAGTTTCTGAAATACAGCAGTGTTCCTGTGGGTAACATCATCCATCCTTGCCCACCTCTTCCCTTTCCATCTTCTGCAGAGTGAGCACCCTGGTGAGTGTGCCCAGGAATAGCTGGGCTCAGTCCAGGGCTTCCCGAGGCAGGCCCCAGAGGTGACAAGAACCTCCAGTAGGCATTCCCATAAGAAAGCTTCACCACCACTTTTTTTGTCTTTTTTTTGAGACAGGGTCTCGCTGTGCAGTTCAGGCTGAACTTGAGCTCACTTTGTAGACCAGGCTGGCCTCAAACTCATAAGGGTCCTCCTGCCTCAGCCTCCCAAGTGCTGGGATTACAGGCATGCACCACCAGGCCCAGTTTCACAGCCATTTTAGAGTATAGATGGAGGCACACTCCCAGATCCCATGTCCCCAAAACAAATCATGTCCGTGCAGTACTGGACCTTCCTTATGATCTCCTAAAGACACTACCTTCCTTGGCATCTGTTTCTGGGGCTTTCTCTACATCAGCCATTACTAACTTGGTTCATCAGCAATTCCAGCGACTCCTTGTGATATCACTACATGGCACAGAGCACCAGGCCCCCAGTCCAAACCACTCAATGATCCCTTGTCCAGTTTTTCTTTCATTTGGCCATTCATCACTCACCTTTGGCATCTTTGGGTGTAAAGATTCAAAGGTCAATAATGCAGTGTACTATCTCCAGGGCCCCTGGTGCAAGAATAATGCAGGGCACGGACAGTTTCACTGCAGGCTAACAGTGCTCTAACTGGGGTTAACGTAGGGAAGGAGGAGTTTGTACAGTTAGGGGTACTGCCCAGCGGAGGCCTTCTGCCCTGTCAGTGGCCTTCTGTCATCCCTAACGGCAGTGGCCAAAGAACCCAAAACCTTGGACCCAATAGGTACATACTTCTGTAAAGCTATGTTTGATCTCATGACTTGAGGAGAAAGTGGTAATTTGTCTAGTCATAGCACAATAGTTTAGCCAGTCAAAGCATCACTTTCCAATGAAAACAGGCATCAAAGATTTTTATAAGCCAGGTACAGTGGTGCATGCCTGCTACTCAGAAGGCTGAAGCAGGAGGATTGCTTGAGCCCAGGAATTTGAGGCTAGGCTAGGCAACATAGCAAGACACTGACTCAAAACTAACTAACTAACTAAATATATTAATTAATTAATATTGTTATAAAGTAAAATGTAAAATTCATGTGAATTTTCTACATAAAACAAGCTATTTCATTAAGTTTGTTCTGTCCCCTAGATTGTCCTAACTTCTCCAAACGCAGCATGAGCCCTTGCCCCTTGGTGCCCAGCTTCTAGTATTAGTGAATGGTGCTTCTGTGGAAATGTGGGGGAAGTATCAGTCTCTGGAAAAACATCTAAATTCTTTTGCTTGGCCTCCAAAGCCTTTCCGTTTGGACTTTCTTCCTCAATGGCTTCATCCTACATTATCCACCTACCTAATCTGTTCTCAACACAGCGACTATTTACAGCTCCCCAAATAATAAACAATATACTAAGCTACCTCATGCCTATGTGATTTTTCACAAGCTGCTCCCTTTGCCTGGAATGCCCCTCCCCACACATCCATCTGGCAAACTCCTACTCAGCCTTTAAGACCCTGTTCAGGGATGCCTCTTCTATGAAGCTTCCCAGCAGGCCCAAGTCAAGTAAGCCAGTTCCTCTCACGCAGCACTCTACCATGCATGCATCCTTCTCCTTGTTCTGAGGTTTCTTTTCTTTATGTGACTGAATCTCTGATTTAATCGTGGGGGCTGAAACAAGAGAGATTGTATCTTATTCATATTTGTAGTTCTATGCATGGTACCAGGCAGTATAGGTATCTAAAGTATAAATATTTTGTGTAAAAGAATGAATAAAACTTATTTTGACTTTTTTATTCTGCTTTGTTTGTAGAGTCAAGATAAGGAGACCAGTGTTTTCTCGGAAACTTTGTAAAATATTAAAACAAACAAAAAACAACAACAACAAAAAACCCCACAAAGAACCCCCATGCCAAATTCCCGTTTAGGAAATCAGTATGCAAATTTCTCAAAAAAAAATTCCATTTGACCCATTTATACTTCTTGTTATATTTCCAAAAGAGTTAAAGGCGTTATAATACAGTGGTACATTCATATCCATGATTGTAGTAGCACAATTAGTAATAGTTAACTCTCGGAAGTAGCATGTATCCATCAATAGATGAATGGAAAAAGAAAATATGGTATATTATATATACATATATGTGTGTGTGTGTACTACTCAGCCATAAATAAGCATAAATTTGAGTCATTTGTAGGAAAATGGATGGATCTTGAAACCATAATACTAAGTGAAATAAATCAGACACAGAAGACCAAATATTGCATGGTTTCTCTTATATGAAAAACCCAACATACAAATAACATAAGGAGCAAAATAAAAGTGAGATGGCAGGAAACAGGGAGGTAGACTCTGTGGAGATGGGAAGGAGACCCGAGGAAGGAAGAAGAGAGGAGGAGGAGAGGGAAGGGGAGTGAAAATAAGATATGCTATGAACATATACCAATTCCCCAAGATGAGTGAAATTATTATGTATCACACACATATACTAAAAAGTTTTCCATTTAATCTCTTTATAGATATTCACATTTTACCATCCCTGTGGTTCTCCTGGGAACTCACCAGACTAATGGGTTTCCTGGACTTTGAGACATTTATAGAAGTAGCCAGGTGGGAAAAGGGCAACAGGACAGAGTCCAGCCAGGTTCCTTTGTGTTACAACAACGGCAGGAGTGGGGACTAGCACCTCCCACACTCAAACACTGTTCTAAGTCCCTTACTCACACATGAATACACAGTGACTCATTTAATCCTTCTGTCAGCTCTATCAGATAGCTACTACTACACCCATTTTAGAAATGAGGAAACAGAGGCACAGAGAACTTGAGTAACCTCCTTACAATCATATAGCTAAGCTGTTGCAAAACTAGACTCCAAACCTAGGAAGTCTAGCGTGGGGTCCTTTCTTCCCATCGTTATACTGTACTGCCTCCAGAAGCAACAGATGGCAATCCTGATTAAGAATATAGGAAACACGAGGTAGAAGAATATACTCTTTTACAACAAATCATGCAAGTCCCAGGTCCTGGGATCCCCTTGTGTGTTCATACACATTCTGCAAAAGTGCTCAGCATTACTTGGTACAACTCTCAGGCCCGAGGGGGCCCAGTCTCCTCTCTGACTGCATTTCAGCTTCACCACAGGGGAAGTGGCGAGTCTTAGTTGGCCTCATTCAGCTTGCAGCAGAGTCCTCAGCAGCCTTCGAAGGAACCATTCTCTCCCTGCCCTCCTGGGTGGTTTGAGGAGCTCCTGACTCCACCCTGATGGCCTTCACAAAAACACTCTACACTGGGGAAACCGGTGGGGCCACTTTTCTATGGTGTACCTGGCAGGACCTTAAACTCGCATGGGCTCTTGTCCACGAGCAGGTGAAAACTTGCTGGCTGGGACGGTAGAAGAGGGCAGTGGTGGTGGTAGAGAAATGGAAGGGAAAGGTAGCCCAGGGCTTTGACTATTGTGAAAGGCCTTATCCACAAAGTAAAGAAATTAGATTGTTCCCTTCCTTATAAACAATGAAGAGCCTTCAAAAGTCATGCCTTTTTTTAGGCTTACACTTTCTCAACTTTAAGCAGTTGCTTTACTTTTTCTTACACTGCAAATACTTTTTCAATGGTTAGGAAACACTGCCATCAAGTGGTTGCCAGCTGATGCCTGCTCCAACTTGTACATTGCTGGATTTTTATTGGTACTGTTTAATAATTAAACCGAAGAACAAATCTCTCGATTAAATCATCTAAAGTACAGATATGCTAACCTGTTTTTTTAAAAGAGGTTGTTACAATGCTTTTCAAGAAATCAACACCTGGGTTCAATTCCCCAATTCTTACTTTGCTTTCAAAATTCTAGCCTAAGTTTTCAGAGGTTCTGATGACAAAGATCTCTTCAGTTCCCAGACCCTGGCCCTGCAAAGGTTCTGTCATTTCCAGGTCAGACCGCACCACTCCAGGCCATTTCCATCAACTGTTGCAGATTCTATTTCACTGCTAGGTCTGTCCTCCCTTTATGGTCTCGCAGCTGGACAAACCTAAAGCCATTTTTTAAAAAAACACTGAGTGAATTGGGGGCAAATCCCTACCCTCTCTGGGCTTGTTACTCCATCTGTAAAGGGGGGATGGTGCCTTTTTCATGGGGCTAGTGTAAGGATGAACCGACAACATGTTAAAAGGAGTGCCTGGCACATCCCAGGTCTTCATCCGGAGCCCTCTTCCCTCCCTCCTTCAGGACATGCTACTGAGCAAGAAGCAGGCACCTCTTGAGGTCAGGGATTTAATTGCTCTCCGAGATTTACCGGATCCTCAGCAAGGTTCCCGAGAACAGAACTACTCATCCTTGTGGTGTGGGGGACCACCTCTGCTTCCATGCGTGGGCAGCACATCGCGGGCTTGGTAAGGATTGCAATCCACGTGTCTCCTCTCTGCGCGGCTGGCCGCAGGTACATGGGAATGAGCTGGGCGGGGCGGCGTTCATTCTTCGCCCTCAGCTCTGGCCAAGAGCTGTGTGTGGATAATTCAATCCCCCTGGGACTTAGAGTCTGGCCTCACCCGTGGCTCCACCGATTGGCTGTCTCAGCTCGCCCCCGCCTTCCGCACCGGTCCCAGGTGGCTCGGGTCCCTGTGGTGATCTCTGTTTACGGAGAGAGCCGGTCCAACTTGGGCTCCATCTCTGCATTCCCTGCCGTTTGGGGCTCAGCCCACTGAAGCGGGGAGAAAACGCGGCGGAGCCGTCCCCCCCGCCCCCACTGCCCAAAGAGGTCGGGTAAGGGGGGAAGGGTGCGTGTGGGAGGGAGAATCCCCCAGGCTAGGGGATCCGGCTGCTCCCCCATCCTAGTACCTCGCACACCCAGGAGTTCTATCCCCAGGCCTGGTTCCCGCGCCCTCCCCCCTGCTCCCACGCTCGCGGGGACGAGCCCGTTTGGGGCTAGCAGCCCCGACGCTGGATCTCAGAGATGCCAGCTCCCCAGCGGAGGCTCAGGTGTGGAGACTTCACTCACAGGCGTGTGTTCACTCCCGCAGACGATGTCCCCCAAGACAGCCGGACCCCCCGACGGGGGCTGGGGCTGGGTGGTGGCCGCCGCAGCCTTCTCGGTGAACGGGCTCTCCTACGGCGTCTTACGCTCCCTGGGCCTTGCCCTCCCTGACCTCGCGGAACACTTCGACCGAAGCGCCCAGGACACTGCGTGGGTCAGCGCCCTGGCCTTGGCCGTGCAGCAGGCAGCCAGTGAGGGGGGCCCCCAAGGCGGGAGGCGGGAACATGGTGGATGGGCCACGTGCGTAGTGATGGGAGACCCACTTGATTTCCAGACCACCCGAAGATGGAACCAAGCTCTAGAAGAGTGGGTCTTGCGGTCAAGGGGAGGAGCTATTAGGCCAAAGGAGGAGTTTTAGGCAGGCAGCAGCCAATGAGAAGCTTTGGAGAGGGTATTGGGGTCCAGAAGAGTGTCTTCGTTAACTCCGCCCCCTTCTAGGCCCAGTGGGCAGTGCCCTGAGCACACGCTGGGGTGCGCGCCCCGTGGTGATGGCTGGGGGCGTCCTTACTTCGCTGGGCTTCGTCTTCTCGGCTTTCGCCCAAAGCCTGCTGCACCTGTACCTCGGCCTGGGCCTTCTCGCTGGTGAGAGGAGTGGGATGCCTGGGTCCTTCTGGGCTGATGGAGGGGATAGGAGTTTGCTGGGGGCCGGGGAAACGAACAGGGCGGGGTCCTCCGTGGGAAGCAGGACTGGGAATGCTAGGATGGGCATCCTTGGTCCCTGTCCTCATCCTGTCCTCTCCATTCACAGGCTGCGGCTGGGCCCTGGCCTTCGCCCCTGCCCTCGGTACCCTCTCCCGTTACTTCTCCCGCCGTCGGGTCTTGGCGGTGGGGCTGGCACTCACGGGCAATGGGGCCTCTTCTCTGCTCCTGGCGCCCGCCTTGCAGCTCCTCCTTGATACTTTCGGCTGGCGGGGCGCCCTGCTGCTCCTTGGCGCTGTCACCTTCCACCTCACTCCCTGTGGAGCCCTGCTGCGCCCCCTGGCCCTCCCCGGTGACCCCCCGGCCCCACCTCGGGGTCCTCTAGCTGCCCTGGGTCTGGGTCTCTTCAAGCGCCGGGCTTTTTCAGTCTTCGCTCTGGGCACAGCCCTGATTGGGGGCGGGTACTTCATCCCCTACGTGCACTTGGCTCCCCACGCTTTAGACCGGGGCCTAGGGGGCTACGGGGCAGCGCTGGTGGTAGCTGTGGCTGCAGTTGGGGATGCGGGCGCCCGGCTGGTCTGCGGGTGGCTGGCAGACCAGGGCTGGGTGCCCCTTCCAAGGCTGCTGGCTGTGTTCGGGGCCCTGACAGGGCTGGGGCTGCTGGCAGTGGGACTGGTGCCCTCGGTGGGGAGCGACGACAGTTGGGGGGCCTCGCTGCTGGCCGCAGCTGGGGCCTACGGGCTGAGTGCTGGAAGTTACGCCCCGCTGGTTTTCGGCGTGCTGCCTGGGCTAGTGGGCATCGGAGGTGTGGTGCAGGCCACAGGGCTGGTGATGATGCTGATGAGCCTGGGGGGCCTCCTGGGTCCCCCCCTGTCAGGTAAGGCCTGAGCCAGCAGATCTGTTCATAGCCATTCTGTCTCTGGGTTTCGAGAAATAATTTTTTTACCTCTCCTCTCAGGCTTCTTAAGGGATGAGACAGGAGACTTCACCGCCTCTTTCTTGATGTGCAGTTCTTTCATCCTCTCTGGCAGCTTCATCTACATGGGGCTCCCCAGGGCGCTCCCCTCCTGCCATCCAGCCTCACCTCCGCCTACCCCTCCCCCGGAGAGGGGGGAGTTGCTCCCTGTCCCCACAGTTGTCCTGCTCCCCCCAGGAGGCCCTCAATCCACTGTGGAGGCCACATGTTGATCGTTGTCTCATTTGAGCCTCTCCCTCCAATAAAGAATTTTTATCTGATGCTCCCGAAAGCTCCAACTGTTAACCGACAGAGGACCTTTAAAAGATTCTATTTAAGATCTCCCAAAGGGCTGACTGAAAGGATCAGGACCCCAGTATTCCTGAGGGTGGGGGAGAATGTGTGTCTGTCCAGCCAATCTGTTTCTCTTTGACTACATCCTTGCAGTAACAGGGGTCTTTGAACCCTCTGGTCTGCCAGTCGGTTTGTCGGGGGTCAGGGGAGAGATGCTCATGGGGGCCATCTGTTCCTTCTTCATTTCTCTTGAGTATCCAGACCTCACAGAGTAACTCTTTCCTGCATTTCGATTCCCCTCTATTGGCCTGAGGGATACATAAGAACCCTAGGCTCAAACTTCAGCTCTTTTATGCCCCCCCATACACCCTACCACCTTGCAATTCTCTTGATTTCTAAGTCACAGGAACAGGGGAAGAGAGAGGTAAGTGGATTGGAGGAAATAAGTCTGGATTGCCAGAGTTCCTGGACACCTCACCTCCCTACCCAGTCGACTCCAGCACATGGGCCCCAGGTCTTTTTAAGGTTATGATTATTGTTGTTTCCTTATTCAGTTTTATCCCAAAAGAACACCCTTGTTTCCCAAACATCCATCTTCAGAGAGGAAACTTTAGAGTAACACTAGGGATCACATGTAAAACAAAGCCTCTTTGATTCTCACAGTTGATTCACAGCTCAGTGAAGCAGGACCTCTAGGATCCTTCAGAAAACATTGGGAGAGCAAAGGAAGAAAAAAAATGAGTCCTCAACAAAATACAGAGGGTTGGCACGCACATCACAGGAGCCCCAGGTCTGCTCTGGGGGAGGAAGATCAAGAATCTTAAGGCACTGCGTTTCTGTGGATGCCTTGATAGGGCAGGAGCTGTCAGGCTCTGGCTTCTGGGGTCTGAATGCCTCTTGGCGGAGTTTAGTCCTCTCCCAACCCCTCCTCCTTGGGCAGGGAGACTTTGGTATCCAGTGCCTCTATTACAAGTTCCTGGGGCCTGGAAGTAGGAGCTGAGAAGCAGGAGAAGAAGTGGGGCAGGGTAATGAGAACTCCACTTCCTACAAGCAGGAAGGCCCCAGCCACCATAAAAGAAGCCGTGTAGTTGCCTGTCACATCCCGGAGGTACCCTAAGTCCAAGAGAGAAAAAGAATATACATGCATGAGTGATTTGTTCCCTGACACAGGTGGCTCAGACCCACTTTGGGTATGAAGAAGACTCCCTATCTTGCTCTTGGAGGAGTTGGAACTCCCAAGGTAGGGTTGGATGAATGTAAGCACTCTAGTTTCCTTTGGGGCCTCAAAAGGTAATTTCAGCCACCTTCTTGCCTTCAGAAAGGACCTTCAAACCAGTCCCCAGTGCCAGTATGGATTTAGTGATCCAGATTAAGTCAGGCATACCTGTGCGTTTCTTTCCCACAACTGTGGCCATCTATGCCTTAAGTTAATAGTTAAGGGGAAGATGTTAAAGGTCTAGTATCTTGGGTCTAGAGAACTTTAACCAAATGGCTCAGACACCTGGGCAAGAGCCCACTGGGCCAAAGGAAAGGAAGACAGTGGAATGCTATATCAGGTCAGGTCTAGCCAGGTCCTCTGAAAACCCAGGCTGTAGGTACCCTAGCAGGGGTTCCACTTAGCTCCTCTTTGTCCCTCAACTGAGACTTTCTGAACTTTAAGTTCTTTGTCCCAGGGACCCATTTCAGGGCTGCTGTGATTGATCATGTGGGTGGTATGCTGTATCACACAGAGGGCAATATTCACCATACACTATAATGGGAACAGTTTCTTTCCCCAATTGTGCAAAATGGTAGCCCTGGGCCACTGGCAACCCCATTCCCCTTACCAGACAGAGGAGCTCCCAGTAGTCCCCCGATGCTCTCTACCATCTGCACCAGTCCCAGGCCACAGTAAATCCTTCCAGTCCCCACCAGTTCAGGTAGCACGGAGAAGGCCACTGGGGTCAGGGCCCCTGATGTGAAGCCATAGGCCACAGCCAGAACCACCAAGGCTGTGGGAGCCTGAGCCACAGGGAAAAGGGCTAGTGATACTCCAGTCAGAGTGGTCCAGAGCATCAGAAGTCGGGCCACAGGCCCTGGGACTGCATCTCCCAGCCACCCAGAGGCCACCCGCCCTACCAGGTCAGAAATAGCAGCCACCGAGAGTAGGAAGGCAGCAGGCAGTGGGTCCCAACCCAGGTCCTGGAGATGGGCCACCAGGTGGACGTAGGGAATGAAGTAGCCAGTGTTGATCAGGGTGAGGGCAACAGTGTAACGGAGAAAGGGGCCATGATGAAGGAGAGAGGTTAGTTGGGCCCTAGGGCCACCCACAGCAGAGTCCTCAGCCAGGGAGAGTGGGCGAAGGAGAGCACCACAGGCCACAAGGTGGCAGGAGAGGGCAGACACCAGCAGCAGGGCCCCCCGCCAGGCAAAGCGGTTGAGCAGCCACTGGAAGAGCGGGGCAAATGCAAAAGAGGAGAGGCCCACTCCTGTCAGTGCCAGCCCCATGGCCAGGGATCGACGGCGGGAGAAGTAACGGGACAGGCATGCCAGGGTCGGAGTGAAGGTCAAGGCCCAGCCAGAGCCTGTCAAAGAGGAAGAAATGGGAGTTGGAGACTGCAGGGCGGGGGCGGGGGGGGGGGAGCTCAGGGCATACAGGAGTCACCATACTACCAGCAGCAGAATGTAGCCCTTGCTTCTGGACTCCCACAGACTTGGGGTCCTGGTGTGATTTTCTAGCTGGGTGACCCTGTATGTTTAACTTACTTTCCCAGCCTCATTCTACATATTTGCAGAATACAAAGTGTTAATACGCTTAATGGGACTGAGGGGGACTAGAGAGGTCTGTAAATTAATTAACACAAAGCTTTGGAGTTAGACCCCAGCTGTACCATTTCTGGTGGTGTAACCTTCCTTTGTCAAGTTGTGTAATTGAAAGGCTTTCTTTGTACATAGGCTAATGATACCTATCTCACAATCACAGTATCTAGCACAGCATTACAGCTATTCTTTCTCTTGCACTCCATTTCCACTAGCTTGGGGCTTGTATTCTCAACACTCGTCATTCTTTGGCTTTCCTAATTTTCCCGCCCTCTTTATCAAATTAGTCATTCTTAAGAATTCCCTTCAAGGCACAGGTGCTAGCCAAACTTTCCTTCCACTTCTCTTTAAGCATTTTGGAAGGAGCAGGAAGAAAATGAAAATCCAGGGGCCAAAGATCCGGGCATTTGGCTGTCCTGCCCTTGCCCAGGATCTCACCTGAGAGCAGCCCAATACTCAGGTATAGGTGAGTCAAGGAGGTAGCAAATGAGGCGAGCAGCATCCCCAGCGCGGCCAAGATGCCCCCAGTCATCACCACAGGCCTGGGCCCGAACTTCGTGCTCAGGGCACTACCTATTGGACCTGGGGAAGTGGAGGGGGGTTCTTCGAGGTCTCAGGCGCCCTACTCCCAGCATCGACCCAAGCCCTCCCCCTTGCCGTTCCTTTCCCCTCATCTCTCTCTTTTCCCAGGGTCGCGGGGCTCTGGACCCAGGGCAGCACTCACTCCCAAACTGCTGCACCGCGATTCCTATGGAGGCAATCCAAGAAACACGCGCCGCCTGCTCCTCAAACGCCGAGACAAACTCCACGAAGAAGACGCCGAAGGAGCGCAGCACCCCGAACACCAGCGCCGACTGGAAGAACGCTGAGAGCACCACCATCCATCCCCAGCCGCCATCGGGAGGCTCGGCTCTGCCCGCCATCTGGGCAGGAACCGGGCTGCCGCCACTAACTCCCCCTGTGGGAGCTGGGCTGTCGACGCCCCACCTCAGCCCACCCACCCATGCAGCCTACGGGGCTGCTGCGGTGGGTGTAGGAGAGGAGAGGCTGGTAGAGGGGAAGGTGCTGGTAAAGCGGCGCGAGGCGCCTGCGCCTTCCCCGGGGCGAGGGGAGGAGACTGACCTAGGCGCCTAAGAACCGGGACAGGCCAGGGCCAGCCTGGGCCACCAGCGAGGAGGCGTGGCCCCTCGGGCCTGCAGCTGCGGGTCCAGGCCTGAGACTACAGGCGGACTCCAGTTTTCAGCTAAAGAATAGGGAGCCGAAATGGACTGAGTCACGCTGCTGACGCGCTCCAGTCTCGGCGTGGGTTATCTGTTTTATCTTTGCGAATGTCAGCACCTGGCCGGTCGAGCAGACATCCTCTTCGTAGCTAGCCAATGAGGACGCATACTTCTGAGAAGGGGGTGGGGCCAGAAGTGCTGGGCGGGATTTAAAGCACCTTTCAGAAAAGGCGGTGAGTGGGGCGCATGCGTAAGAGGGATCCGAAGCGGCAGGCTGCGTAGTGCCCCACGTGATGAAGGGATCTATGGTGAGAGTGCAGTGGTCGCGGTTTTTTTTTTTTTTTTTTTTTAATTGTGGGCCCAGTTTGCCCACTTTTTAGCAGCAAGGCCTGCACTTCAGAACAGATGGTGGATAAACTGGTTCTGGAGAGATAAGCATTCACTGCTTGCTTAATGAGGGTTCCAGGAATTACCAGATCAGGGAGGAGGTTATGAGATCTTTAAACCAAATACTTGGCTGCTAAATCAGCCTAGAAAAACCTAGATACCTGGATCCCTGAGAGGCCACAGGGAAACAGAAGAGAAATGGGTTGTTGGGCTCCTTCATTTCTGTGATAAAAACTCGTTCCTGTCATTTCTGTTCCCACTAACAGGAAATCTACAGGTCATTGAGACCAAAAATAAACTGGGGAAAGGAAGGGCGCCTGTAAGCTCACACAAGGCTCCACTACCACCACCTACCCCTTTCTCAGTGGGGCTGGAACATTTTTCTCTATCTTCTAATAACAGCCATTTCCCACCCACAGTCTCTGATCTCATGATAGGGTAAAGAGACAAACTATGACCATGGTCACTGACACAGTCAGCCCCTCCTTTCCCACTACTACCCAGGCTCATAACAAGCACTCCCAATATAACAGACCCTATAGCACTAATGGTTTGGACTTCCTGTTCCTTCATTGTAACTCAAGCTCCTCAGGAGGTTGATTTTAGGCTTGAGTTCATACCTAGACTAGTGTGGAAAGATGCAAACAAGAGGAGGCTGTGTGGTTTAAAAAGAAAACAAAAACATGTTGAGCTTTATAATTTTGTATGTGAGAAAGAAAAATCATACCACAATACTATGTCTAGCTATATTGTAAGTGTGGTTGAAGCAGGCAGAGGCAGAAATTGGTCTGGGCATATATCAGTGGTTAAGAGTTTAGAATCAGATCACAGTTCCAATCTTGACTTCTTCACTTATTAACTTGGTTTCTCCATCTGTAAATTGGGGACAACAGTGCCTAATTTTTAAATTGTTTAAGGATTTCCAGAGGTGTTAAATTAGAAAATCCACGCACTAAAAGGCTGAGCTTAGGATATGACATGTAGCACAGGATAAATAATACTAGCTGGTCTTATTTTCAACAGCTGTAGTGAGAAGTGAGTAAGGTTCTAGTTTAGTTTTGGGATTTTTTTTTTTTAAAGTCTAATCCAGGTCATGGGTTTTAAAAGATTAAGAAACACAACCACAATCTGTAATAGTAGGAGGGAACTGCAAAGGCCATGCTGATTTTTTATCATAGAGGAGGAATTTAAGGTCTAAAAGGAGATTACATTAGAATTAGTGAATTCTGCTCATGAGCAAGAACAGAGCTGTGCACCCAGGACACATGTAGGACAGGGGAAAGGGTGGGAGATGCACACGCAGTGGTCACTGGATAGAGTCCAAGATGCTATTGTTAAGAGAAGGCTGGACTTGGCATGTTGGCTCTTAACTATGCACTCTTCTCACTGCCACCCCCAGACCCTGATGTCTTTATGGGGTCCAAGTCCAATCCATTTTCTTTGGTGGTGATGGTACAGTGTCCCCAAAATTAAGATCTCCAGCACAGAAACATCTATCCCCCAACCTAGTAGTAGCTTCCTAATTTCTCCCTGCCGCCTCCACACCTCAGGCAGGAAGTGACTTCAGACTAGCAGGATGCAGGTGGCTCCGGAGAAACTTCATGAAGTCACTGGTTCCTACACAATAAGCCGGAAGACAAGGCCTGGGAGGGAAGAATACTTAAGATGTCTGGTGGGATAGGATAGTAAAATGAGCACAGACTCCAAGATGTTATTCAGGAGGGAAGAAATCTCTTTCCAAGTCCCAGATACCCCCCAGGCAAGAATCCAGGACACAGTGGTAGCACAGAAAGTCTTCTTTATTCCAAGATCTAACACTTCCAACCCCAGGCACTCTTCACCTGCCTATCCAGTCTGCTAAATAGAAATCATGGTTCCTTCTCACATTTCTCTTCTGCTTTCCCTTCTTTCTTCTTCAATTTTGCAATGGGGTGATGGAGATTAAAATGCAAAAAAGAGTAGCTTTCTCACCAGTCCCCAAGTGACATCCACTAGTACTGACTTATTTTGAGGAGTTCCACTCCACAAATTCAAAATTGCTTCCTACCCTTCACCCATATCCTATAATCAAATAGGTCTCAGGACAAGGATCAGAACTATCAAGGCTTTAAAGTCCTACCTAACATTCCAGACACTCTGTTTCAGCCAAGAGGCAACACCATTCTTAAATTTCAACTTACTTGGTCTATACCAGAAACTGTAGCCCTCAACCAACCTCTTAATCCTACCTGGCACCTCGGTCAACTAGAAGAGATCTCTGGTCCATGAGTCAACCAGTCTTTAAGTCTCCTAAATCTGTAATCCCAACAATAACCCAAATCATAATCTAAAACTTCAACAAACCCAGAATGGAACTCAGCCCTTTTTTTCTCCTGGTGGAAGGTTCTAGTGCATTCACTGGTTCCAGACAGGAATGCAGTGATAGAAAGACTGCGTCACAGACCCAGCTTTTCTAAGGAAAAAAAGTTACCAAGCACCTGTGATTTCTAGAGGCAATGAAGTTGTTTCTGGAATCTGGACACTTGCTGGAAGATGTCCAAAAACCAGGAAGAAAAGGCTTATCACAGGCAGAGAAAACACCAAGGAATTCAAACCCAGATGCCTCTGGACTAATGGATTGGTCATGACTCTTTAGTCAAAATACAGAGTTTCATAATTCTCCCCTAGGTCACACTATTCTTACACACTGGGTGGAACTGGAAAATGTCACATCATCTCTGATAAGGAATTTCAGATCTCTCCCTGGAGGGATCAGCTCAGTGTGAAGAATAGGCCCCAGAGCAAGGGTTATGGGCTCAACTCAAACACTTAGGTGATAGATGAATATAGTGCAGTCAAACCCAGGTGACCAGGTTAATGGGACAGTTTACAGTTTGAAACATCTTGGAGGAAAGACTACCAGCTTCCACTTTGGGAGGCTGAAGCAGGAGGATCCTGAGTTCAAGGTCAGTCTGGGCCACATAATGAGTGCAAGACCAGCCTGAACTACAGAGCAAGACTGTGTCTTTGAAAAAGAAAACAAAACAAGAAATACAGAATCCAGTGCTCATACCCCCATCCTGCAGGAGCCATTTATTACCTCAAATTCAGGCTCACAATAAAGGTTCCTATAGCCCTTGAAGAATAAAGAAGAGTCTATGCTGGTGGTGGTGAGCCTAAGCACGCATGCCGCAGTGGGCTGTTTGTATCACTGAAAGCTCTAAAAGGTTCCCCATTACTACTCTATATTCAGTTCTAGCCTGCTAGAGAATACCAGAGAGGGTTCCTGCCCCAATTCCACAAGTTCCCAGGGCTTGCCCAGGAACAAATAAAGGTTCCAGACCTAGAATTGGAGGGGCAGAACACAGAGAACCCCTTTCTCCACTTAAACCAACAAATGAACAAGCAAGGAACAATTTTAAAGATAAAAGTTATGACAATACAATATAAAAACATTCAAGCCAAAGGAGAGAGCCAAGTGCTAATAATAATCTCTGCCAGCAGAGCTGTGACCTCACCTTCCCTGTTTTAGGTCACTTTAGATCACACTTGTAGAAGAGGGAAGTGGGAAATGCAACACAGTGAAGGCCCTGGCGCCACCCGAAGGTCTCAATAAATTATATTTACAGATAAATCATATGAGATGGGGGGCTGTAGGTAGAGAGCTGTTTCCTTAAGGAAACAAGGCCTCCATTCTCTCCCGTCCTCCAACCTCTAGCTAGACAATCTGGACTGTGGGAAAGAGGTTTTGACCAGCAAAACAGAGGCAGATCAAGCCAGGATCCGCCACCCCTGCTCTCCCCAGCAAGAAATTAAGGTGGCAGCAGTTTCTGACATCAGAGTTGCCTTGCACAGCTCCATACCAAGACTGACAGGGAAGCCAGGCCAGAGCTACAGCTTTCCCATCCTCCAGGGAACAAGTGGGGCCTGGGCCAGTGCTCAGCTAGGTTGCGCCCAGGATATGGTAGTGGACCTTGGTGTTGGTAGCAGCTCCGTGTTTCTGGCGTAGATGCAGCCGAAGTTGACTCTTATGCCGGAAATGCAGGCCACAGGGGTCGCACTGCGGGAGGATAGCTGGGTCAGGTCCTTCTAGTCTATAGCTACCTTTTAAGAGTTGAGTCGGGGGAACAGTCCAGCTCTCTGCTGAAAATTAGGTCTTTGACCCTTACATCCTCCAAAATCCTCGGGGGTGTCCAGGAAACTGGTCTTGCTTCATTTAGGAAAGGATTTCCCACTCCTTAGCCCTTCTTGGGAGCACTGCATTCGCTCCTGAGGTGTAACTGCCTCCATCCTTATCCCAACCCCCACTCTGCCCCATACTCACAGGACTCTTCAAGCTGCAACCCAGCAGGTAGCAAGCCTGCTCCTCTCAAAGCCCCACCCCTAGGTGGATGGGAGGGAATTCTAAACCTGGGCCATTGTGGGTACCCACGTGGTAAGGCTTCTCTCCCGTGTGGATTCGAACATGGCTCTTGAGGGTTTGTAAGTGGCGGAAGCGGGTTCCACAGGTGGAACAAGGATAGGGCTTCTCTCCAGTGTGGATCAGCACATGTGCACGCAGATGTGCCACCTGGGAGGAGAGGAGCCTTCAGATCACACACCTCTTGGAGGGTCAGAAACTTTTGTTAGCCCGCCCTGCCCTCTAGCCTTTGAACTCTTCCAAACTGGTTTCTTACCTGTACAAAACGGGAACCACAAGTCTCACATTTGTAAGGTTTTTCTCCAGAATGGATGCGGCTGTGCGTTTTCAGGTTAGCTGGCCGGTTAAATCGGGCTCCGCAGATGGAGCAATGGTAGGGCTTTTCCCCTGCAAGCAGGGTGAATGACAGGTCAGGTCAGGATGTTACCATAAGATAGTGGTGGTCAGCAAGGCCAAAGCCCTCTCTTCCCTACCTGTGTGCACAGTGCGGTGGCTGGCCAGGTTGCCCTTGTATCGGAAGGCAGACCGACAGAGCTGACACTTATAAGGCTTGTCCTCCTCCCCAGGAGCAAAGGGGTCCAGCCCCGATGAACACCCAGCCACAGCTTCACAGTTCTGGCAGCTGAAAAACTCACTTCCTGGGAAGGGAGGGGTGGGGGTGTGAGTAACAACAGTTATAGTTATTTACTGAGGGAGTCAGGTACTGGTGAATCCTCAAACCACACAACAGTGGGCTTTCTTTTTCCCACTTCACTGTGATATGTTTTGTGGACCATGGCCACATGGTTAGTAAGAAGACAGTCAAGTGAACCAAGTAGCCCTGTGGTCCCAGCATTCTGTGTCCCTCTGCTGAGGCAGGAGGATTGGAAAGTTCAAGCCCAGCCTAGACAACTTAGCAAGAGTCTGTCTCAAAACAAAAATATAAAATAATGGCCTGGGGACGTAGCCTTGGGTTCAATTCCCAATATGTGGTTGTGGTGGTGGTGAGAGGGAGGAGCCAAGATGAAATTCCATATTTCTCAGATTCCAGAGTATTCTGCTAATTTTTTCAATAGTAGTGGTAGGTAGAAGCCTTTGATGGTGGGCCAGTGTTTCTGGTTTTCTCTTCTGCACTTCCGGGGAAGACAGCTGGCCAGAGAGGCCCTGCCGAACCCTGGTCACTCAGACTTAGATGGGGATAGGCCAAAAATTCCAACTTTGCTGCTCACTGGAAGCACCTGGGGAGCTTTAAAAAATACTGATGCCAAAATAAAAAATACCCCCCCCCCAAAACCGATGCCTAATCCCCACTTCCAGATATTCTGATCTATGGGGTATGATCTGGGCAATGGGAGTTTTAAAGGCTTCTCAAGTGATTGTAATTTACAGTAAAGTTTAGGAATCATTAGAAGGTCCTTCTTGAGAACTCTTGATCCAAATCGGCCTGAAGTAGCCACAGGAGGAAAGGCCGAAAGGAAGGCTCTTACCTGGTGGTGGGCGAGCCCGCTCAGAGGGTGATCCAGTCTCCTGAGCACGGGGTGTGAGGAGACAGTGGCTACTGGCTGGAGTTCTACACTTGAATTGTCCACTGGCAGCAGATGGAGAGAGCCTAGGCAGACAGCAAGGCACAGAGAAAAGGTTAGGAGAAATTATATGGAGAAGGGTTCTCTACTGGAGAACTTGAAGCCAAAAGTCTATTCCCTAGAGGTGAATTAATATTGACAGATGAGTCAAAGTCCCATCCACTGACTCAGCTTAGCCTCTGGTCAACACTCCAAGGTAGGCTGGTGTCTCTGCAACCCACCCATCATCTCCCTGTCTCCTGACCACACAGACCCAGTGGCTCTGCCTTCTAGCTGAGGCCAGCATCTACAAACTCTAGGGGTTCTAGATTCTGTACCTGCTTTGGGAACCAGGAATAGGTCCTTCTTCGCTGCTGCTGCTGTTGCTGGAGGCCTCGTCTCCACTGGGGAGCCTGGCTTGAGGGCAAGGTTGACCAGAATTCCTCTCCCCCATTATGCTCCCCGCTTGGGAGGCCTGAGAGTTTAGTACGATGAACTTATACTTTTTCCAGTTGCAAGCCTTTGGGTCTGGGCTGGCCGGACTTGGGAGACCTTGATTGCAGCTTCGGGATTCAGTAGGTGGGTCTGGGTGCCCTTCGGAGCGCCTAGGACTATCTGGTGGAGGAGCCATTGGTGGTGTGGGGGGTTCCGCCTCCAGGGGTCGCAAGGAGATGCCTAGAGGTTCATAGCTGGGAAGTGTGATGGACATTAGAGCAGGTTCCTAACGACTGCCTTTGGAGGGAGCACTTGGGGCACCACCTTACCCATGAAGAACACAGAGCCAAGCTCTCTCACCTGGCCTGGATGAAGCGGTGGCATGCCTGAACTACATGTTCCATCTGCAAGTAGGTGGCAGCTGCAAGGACGGCCGGCGCCGTGGCGGGAGAGAGGCGCAGGCGCGAAGTGTACATGAAGTCCAGAAGCGGAGCAAAGCCTCTAGCTTCGGGCCCCCCGGGCAGGGAGAGCACGTCCACCCCCACTCCTGCTCGACCCCGAAAAATTGAATAGAAGAAGCCACTAGAGAGGGGGCAAATAAGTAGTTAGGGGCTGGGAGATCAAAGACACCTGCTTCAGAAAACCCCGCCCCCAACATCACCCCCGGTGCCCAACTTGGGGCAGCTTTTCACAGGCTCCGGAAGACTTGGCTTTGGATCCCCTCTCATGGGCTTTATGGTTCCGCCTCTTTCCCTTTTGATCCCCAGGAACCCCACCCCTCGAACCTGCAGGCGATGAGAACCGCCTTGTGCGCGCGAAGGGGTTGCCCGCCAACCAGCAGCGTGACGTCAGTGAGGATCCCGCGCAGGCGCAGCTCGTTCAGATTGCCAAGCACGTCGGAGGAGTGGCGAGTGAACTCGCGGACGTAGCCCAGCGCGCCCTCGGGGGCAGCGGTGGAGCCCATAGTGACGCAGGCCTGCGGGTGCCAGGGGACCGGCTCAGGGATCCAGGCAGTCCTAAGACACATTCCCTTCTCTGCTTACCCCTTTCCTTCTTAAAAGACCCCGGCCCCGGCACACTCAGCCCACTTAAACCATCGGGCACGCTCTGCCGCAACCGCACCGCCGCTCTCCTCCCTCTGCAAGAGCCCAGCGCGCTCGGAGCAGATGAAGGTTCGTCCGCACCAATGTGCCCCTAGAGCGCGCGCGGAATCCCACCCGCAACGCCGCCGGTTCGACTCCTACGACCTCTCCACCAGCCGCCGCCCTTCCTCTGCTTCGCCGCGTGCCGTGGCCTCAGGGATAGACCTTGCCTAGGGACCCCAGACGACCTGCAGGTCACACCCCAAAAATCCACGTCGAAACCCCTTTCACTAGCCTCGAGATTCTGCAGTCCTGTCTAATCCTTGACCCTACCATCAACAAACCCCAACCCTTTTGGGGGACCCAAAGTCTGGCTCCCTCAGTGTTTCGTTCTTACCCCCGTCCTGCAGGGGCTGCGGCTTCTCTTCTCTGGGGGGGCGGGGTCTCACTCCCCTTCTCCCTGGGCTCCTTTATCCTGCCGGGATGTCGGGGGCGGGGGTGGAGGTGGGGTGAACGCCTGGGTCTGTATCCTTCCTTCCTCCCTCGCTCTCCAGATGGCAAGCCCGGGGCGGGGTCTCCGTCTCAAAGGCGGGACCTCAGAAATGCGGGGTGCTCGTTATCGACGGGGCTTTGGGTCCCTAAGAGTGGAACGGAGGATGAGGATATTGGAATTGCGGAGGAGGTTAGGGAGGTCGGGGTTGAAAATGGGGAGAAGCTGGGTCGTCGTCGGACCTGGGGCCATGAAAATGGGTGTGCTGGTTTTTGGAAGGGGGCGCCAGCAGTCTGGCAGAGGACGAAGTGATTGCAGCGAAATTCCCCCTTCCGATGTACTAAGGAAAGGGGGAACCCAGTGAGCCACCAGGTTTGGAGCGGCGCTAGTGGGCTCTAGGGGCTTAGTAGGAAGGTGTGGTGTGAATGACAGGCTCCACCAGCAAGCCCCTCAAAAAACGGGGGCTCTGGCCGGGCGGGGCAGGCAGAGGGCGGATATGATTTCTAGCTGGTTTCCTTCTATTGTCCTGCGACCGGACGGCTCCACCAGCTGCTTCCCCACTAGGAGGTGGGGAAAGCCCCGGGTGGGGGCCGAGAGACGCTCAGGAGACCTGGGCGTCCGGCCTCTCACTACCGCCTCTCTTCTGAATCCTTTTAGGGATCCGGAGAGGCGGACTCCCGCCTAAAGCCCGTCCACTCTTCCCCAGTCCCAGATTATTAGGGCTTTAAGCACCCGCCGGTAGGCTACGCTTTGAGGCTGGCGGGACGCCGGGGTCCAGCGCGGCAAGTAGGCAAAGCTCGGCAATGTCTGGCTCCTTCCACGAGGGGGCGGACGAGCACTAGCCTCGCTTCGCCCGGTCTTCTCCACGCGGCTGGGGTTGTGCTCAGCCCTGGGCACAGGATGGATTCGGTCTGGGCGGCTGCACCTTCTGCGATGGTTTATTTTGCACCTCTGTCTCGTAGCGGGATGCTAGGCAGAGGGAGAGAGAGTTAAGAACTTTGCCTGTGGCTGGAACTCCTACTGAGGTGGAAAATCCGCGGGCTTTGGGAATGGGGGGAATGGATGTGACAAGTACTGGGGCTTGAGCCTGAGACCACAGGTTTTCTTTTCTAATTAAAATAGTTACTATCATCTAGATATTTGAAGAGTTGGATTTTTAGTGGCCATTAATATGAAATTTTGGTGGGGTAAATAAGAGAGCAGAAAAGCAAGGAAGAGGAAGAGAGGAGAGGAGAGGCCTGGAAACTCTAATTTTAACCCTCTCATCTGGGAGATAGGCGTGGGTCACACCCTCATATATTCTGGGGGAGATGTAGGATTGAGGACAAGATCTGTGTGAAGAAGATGGGCCAGAGCTGGTTTTAGCGGCAATGCAGGAGCCCTTTGGATTTGGGCTAAGGAGTGTGTACATTTAACCATTGCCCGTGGAACTGCACATCCAGGCCTGGAGCCATCCTGTTCAAAGTCGGCAGTACTTTCATGTGGGTGTGAAAGAGCACACAGCTGAGAACCTGGGGACTGGGGAGGAGTACGGATTCGGGATGGTGCAGTGGCTTTGGCATGTGAGGGTGATTGTGGTCTCTGCCCAGTTTGGAGATGAGTATTAGATAGGGTTCCCTTTAGTATCAGAATGAAGTGTTAGCTGGTCAGTTGTGGGGTGCTGTTTATTAAGAGGTGACTTGACTGATGTAGTGACTATGGGCTGTCTTTAGCCTTGAGATAAGTTTGAGTCATGGGGATGATGTCAAAACTGCACTAGTTCTGGATGTTTTGATACCATTTGGAGATAGTGTTATTCCCCATCACCTTGGAGTATCAGGAGAGTTAGAATACTCATGTTGATTTGGGGGTACAGCCTGTTTTTCCAGTGCTGTTTCAATCTCAAGGCTCAGATTAGCTTGTTGGAGATATAACATTCAATTTGGATTTTTTTTAAAAAATTGCATTGGGGTGGAACAAACAGGAAGTGGGAATAAGTCTGAAGGCTTTCTGTGTCAGGGGTTTGGGTCGGGGGTACACACTTTCAAATCTGAGTCCTGTGGAACTTATTTTGAGGGGAGAATATTTTTCTGTATGCCTGGATCACCATGAAACTTTTTCCAAGTTCTCTTCCAAGGGGAGAAACAGGTGAGGGCCCCCAAGGAGGAAGACTAAAGTTTTGGGGTGTCCTTATTTTAGGGTGTTTGGTCTTTCATCGGATACATTTGGTGAAGCCGAGGGATGGATCATTGGGTGAGACTGATTTGAAGATTCCCTGAATTTGGAGCATGTTTCTGGTCTGGAATATCTTTTACTTATAGCGCCCTCTCATCCCAGAATACAGAAATTTCTTTAATGAACCCCCAAATAAGCCTAAGAGTTGAAAGGAGAGATATGAGAGGGGAATGATGTTCGGACATGTACTTATGATTATGTGGTCTGGATAGATCTGAGGGAAAAAATGTGGTTTCGGACTCTGAACCCCAACTTCTTAAGGAAGAACACCTCAGCTTGGGGTAAGGTGGAGGCAAATGGGGTGCTGCTTGGTAAAGTGGACACCTCTGATCAGGTCAGTGCTGCTGGAACTGTGGCAAGGAGGGGTGGTGGTGGAGTAGAAGGAGGTGATTCCTGCACCCTGATTTTCTAGGATAAGAGCCCCAAACAGAAAGCAGACAGGACTGAGAGTGTGGGTGAGCCGAGAGGGGGAGGGGTTCCCAACGGCAGCAGGGGCTAGAGGGTAAGCCAGGCCAGCTCTTCCCGCCTGGGTCCTTGCTCTCTTCGGCTCTCCTCCCCTCTCTCCCTCCCACCGCCCACCCCCCCCAACCCAAGGAAAAAAAACTGCCTGTGCAACAGCAATGGCAGATTCCAATCCTCCAGGCTTTCCTAAACCACCACGGAGACCAGCCAGGGGGGAGGGGAGGGGAAGATCGGGCTTTCCTGCTTCCCTAAGACAGGGGCTATGAGCTTGACCTCCTGGCCCCTTGCCCTCTGAGGAGTGCCTCCCCCCCACACCCCCCGGTCTGGAAGCCAGGTGTCCTGGACCCTAGCCCCCGAGCGGGGTGGGGGTGCCTAGAGGGACGGGGAGGAGGAAGGAGGGAGTGACTTCCAAAATTGGCATCGGGACAGAGCAGGGCTGGCGGGAGGCAGGCGAAAGACAGAATTTTCCTGAAAAAACGGGGGTATCTAAGGACCCCAAATTTGGGGAGCTAGTCCAGGACCGTCTTCCCAACATCCTAGATTTTTTTGGGATTTTTTGGGGGCCCCGGGACCCCTCTAGATGGGGTGAGGAATGTAGTGTTGGGGGAATCTGACTGGGGCATTGCAGCTGCCTCTCCCGCCGAGTTGGAGACGGATGGGCTGGACGGGTTTTGGGGGGGGTGTCCCCAATTCTGACTGGGAGTGGAGGAACCCCCTCCAGAGCTCTCTTGTGGGGGTGCCCCCTCCCCAGGGCACTCCCCAGCCCTTGAGCCAGCCGAGAGGAAGGAGGCCAGCGATGCGACTGGGGCGGCTCCTTTCTCCTGCACCCCAAATGTGAGGGATGCACCCCAAAATTTGCTCCTTTCAAAATAGGGGACCAGGATCTCAGGGGAAAGTAGCTGAGGTAAGTGGGGAGGGAAGTGTCCCCTGTTTTCAGGAGAGACGTGGCGGTTGGGGGGAGGTTTGGAGGTGCGTGCTGGGGTGGGGTTGGGCTTTGTCAGTCTTGGAATTGGGGGGATGATTGAAGAGGGTTCCTCCTATACCCCAAACTGCAGTCCTTTAGATGGAAACCAAAACCTGAGACCAGGGAGCCCTCAACATCTCCAGCCGTTAGGACAGTGTTTGATTTCACCCCCACAAAGGCTCTGCCGGGGGTGGGAGCTGGGGGCAGCTGTTGTTTTGGGGGCTCTGGAGGGTGCAAGGAGGCGCAGGGGCCCTTAGCTGGGCTTGATATAGCAAAAATGGGGACCCCGGGGAGGGAACCTGGCATCCTCGGGGGCCTAAAAAGACTGCTTACATACACCATCTTAGATCTTTCTGACTGCTCAGAGTTTTGGGGGGTGTGTCGGGACAGGGGGTGGTAAAAGGTGAGATGGGATATGAGAGGATAACATTTGGGTTTTACAGGGTATTATTTTGAGTTGCAGAAAGGATTTTGCTTTCTGGGAGGTGTTTTTTTTAAAATCAAGTTCTGGACAGGAGGACAAGGCTAAGGGAAGGCCTAGGGTTGGGGGTGGGGAGGGGCATATTTGTCTCAGCTTAAACGTGGCTCTCTGGGGTGGACCCGCCTTGTCTGGGCCTGGTGGATAGGCTAATGGGTGCTGTTGTGGGGGTGAAACATAGGTCTTGGGCAGCAGTGGGGAGTGGGAGCAGCCCTGGAGGTTGAACACCTGGCCCCCAGGTCCAAATGGCCCTCTTCTAGGCCCTGCTGCTCACCTCTCCCCCTGGCCTCCATTTCCTGCCTTTGGCCTCCATCTTGTGGCAGGCCCAGGGCCCAGGGCAACTTCCGGCCCCCCTCTCTCTACCGGGTTCCGGCCCTACCACCTCTGGATTGCCAACCCCTAACCCTGCTGTCTTTGGTCCTCTGTCCCTCCTAGCATTTCTCTTGGGTTTTGACCCAGGGAAGGGAGAAACGGACACAGGAAGCCTTGGGTGCCTGCCCTTGCTGAGTCAGGAGGCAGTTTGGTGTCATTCCCTAATTCCTCTGCCTCTGACCCCACACTAGGGATCCCTGAGCTGAGTTCCTAAAGAAGCAAGGTGGCTACAATCTTACTACACTGTGAGCACATTCCTTTCCTTCCGGTTGCCTGCTCCATTTCTGTCCCTAGCTCCTGGTTTTCCCAGCCTTTTTGAGGGCCACGTTTGCCTTCTCTATCTCCCTGCTGTTGGTGGCGGGGGTCTTTACAGCACTGTTTTGTGCTCTCTTCTCAGCCCACCCCAGTCCTGCCCCCGCCCCAGCAGCACACTGTGGTTTGTACGGCACTGTGGCCACGTCCAAACCACACTGTGGTGTTAGAGCGAGGGTGGGGGAGGCACCGCAGAGGCCTGGCCCTGAGAGGCCACATGGAGAAGCAACACAAAACACATCTGGGGCCTTGGGATAAACTTCTTTCGAGGTGGGGAAGAAGATGGTATGAAAGCCCTGGAAACTGTCCCTTAAAACTCCCCAGGGCAGGCTCAGGAATACTGACTGCCAGCGACCCTGGGAACAAATTCTGGCTCCTGACAGCAAAGTGGAGTCTTTGTTGTGCACACCCAGCTCCCCTGACTCTAGCAGCACAGAAATATTGGCACTGGGAATCGAGTCTGCCAATATTGGTTGTGCTGCTCCAGGCAGGGTGGTGACAGCCACCCAGAAGGGGCTAAGCCGCTGTGGGCAAAGAAGAGGAAAGAAAGGAGCCTCTAACCATACCATGCTGAGAGAGAACTCTTTATTGTTTTATGTATAAAAATGTCCATCAGATGGAGGGCAGGGGGTAGGAGCAGACAGTTATCAGGAACAGCCAGGTGACAGCCCCATCAGCCTTCTGAGCCCCTCTCGGGCAGGCCTTGCTCCAGTTCCAGGCAAGCCACAGGTCCGAGTGAACAGTGGAAGGGTCAGAGGCGGAAGGCTCAGCAGGAGAGTAGAGGAACATCAGTGGAGGCTGTGAGAAGGCCAGAATCCAGGGTCAGGCTGTCTAGAACAGGAAGATAAAGGTACCAGATAGAGAGAGTTCCAGTCTGTAAGGCCACTCCCACCTCCCCAACTTAACTGACCCAATCTTCTGCACTGTGAGTGGCGTCCTCTCCCGACCCCCTGAAGGAGGCAGAGCTTCTGCTGAGACCCTCCCCTGCATCAGGTGAGCACTTCCTCCCCAGTCCCCGCTGCTATGGTAGGAGGAGGACTCCTACCCTGGTCGAAGTTGAGTTTCTTGGTTGGAGGAGTTTCTCCTAGCCCTTCAATATCCACCAGGTCACTGTTGGTGTCGGAGTCATTCAGAGCACTAAGTGTCACATCTGGGAGGGAGTACAGGTTATGTTCTAGGTTCTCCTAACTGTGTCCCTCCCAGCTGTCCAAAACTTTGTGCTCTACTTCCCTGCATCTAGGAACCACAGGGAGAGAACAGAGATTTGTCTTTTTTTTTTTTTTTTGACCCAGGACCAATTTTCTCACAGAATCTCAGACAGGACCTTTAACCTCTACCCTAGGTGCAACTCCACAGCCCTCACCAGCCTTCTGTTTCTTTATGGGGGGACCCCCTGCCTCAGAGACACTGGAGTTGCTGGGTGGAGGGGCAGCTGGAGGAGGCGACAGGACACCAGATGCCAACTTCTTGGGTCCTTTCTTGGGTGACTCAGCTGGAAGGGGGATGCCAGAGTCTTCATAAACCTTTCGTTTCACAGTGGCCTTTATCTGAGCCCTGAAGAGAAGAGACAACAGATTAGGGAAGAAATTGTCAGGGAGGCTGAGGGAAGAAGGGAAGGGTGGGAATTCAGGAAGCCCCTTCACAGGAATCCTGGTCAGGGCCCCAACCTGCTGGCAGGGTTTTCAGTGCCCAGGGCAGATGGGAAGTGAAGCGTGGAGCCCCTGAACTGAGTAACTGGAAAGGTCCCTCTTCAGTCCTCTTCTGGGAGAGATGTAGATGTGCAAGCCCGCCAGGTAAGGCAAGGTAACTTACAGGCAGATTGAGGGGTGTGTGTGTGTGTGTGTGTGGTGCTGGGGATCGAACCCAGGGCCTTGTGCATGCAAGGCAAGAACACTACCACTGAGCCACAACCCCAGCCCTTGACTGAGATTTTTAATGAGTCCTGGTCAACTAGTTCACAAATACAGTAACCCTGGACACACTAGTGCTATATAAATAACCAAGGAACTCCCATTATCAAATACAAAAATCAAGTATCTCAGGGCACCCTAAAATTAACTTCTTAGCAGATCCTGATGACTACAGCAGTTTAGGAAACACTGACCAACGGTGACAGGTCTTACATTCTTTCAGTTCTCATGGGAATGCTACCAAAACTAGCAAAAAGTAGGAAAAGTGCTGAGCTAGGAGTTCTGAGGAAGATGGAATAATGGTTAAGGAGGAAGAAAGCTGCCCACCCCCCTTTGTCTGCCACCCTCCCTCACACTGTCCGTTCCTTGATGACACAGCTGATGTGATTAAGATCGTCCCCAAATCGCTTCACAGCAGCCCTCAGCATCTCTATCTCCGTCTCCGTCCACTTCGCACTGTCAGAAGGGAGAAGTGGGGATAGCAAAAAAAAACCAGGAGGAGGGTGTGGAGCAAGCCCACAGGCTATGCACCCCACAGCCACCCAGCCTCCTCCCCGCAAACGCTGGGCCCCCTTCTAGTACTCCGTAAGGGGGTACTCCTTTTTTTAAAAAGCTCTGGGAACCCCTAGCCACACGAAGTTACATCCATCACCCCCTTACAGCACCCCTCTCCCCCATCAACGTGCAACAGCTGCTGTCAACAGCCCACTAAAACCCATTCACCAAGTAGAGGCCGTACAAACAATCCCTGAACACAGTCTGCAGTAGTCGGAGAGCGTAACATCATTTGGGGCGGTGGCGGTCGCAATAGGGTGCAAGTGTGAAATCTGAGTCCGGGTTGGAGAACTGTTTGCATCTTCATCTGTCATTCACTTACTCATTTCAACACTTATTAACACCTACTCTGCGCTGTGCCAGGTACAGAGAGAAACTAACATCTGCCCCTGCCCTCGAGAAGGTCCACGTCTGTGACCGGTCTAAGCGTCCATTCCTGGCGTCCGGGTCCCAGCTCGGCCTCACGTACCCCGCTGGGGAAGAGTCAGACACGGGATGCAGCTGCATCGTCAGCTCCCCGAGCTTCGTAAAGGCGGCGCCGGCCGCGGAGAAGATCTCTCCGACCTGGGGGCGGGGCAGCGTTACGGGGGGCCGGCCATCGCCGGTTCGCCCTCCCGCCCGGAGCCCCCTAGCCCCACCCCAGGCTCGGCCCTCCCCCCGCCTGGCGCGGAAGAGCCAGGAGCCAAGCGGGGGGCCCGCCCGCCCGTGACCGCCAGGGAGCGCTGTCCGCGAGGGAGGTCGAACCTTTGTAGACGCTGACGTCATGTCCCCGCGCACCTCCTCACCGAGACGCTCCGCCACCGCCGCCACGCGAGCCGGGACCACGGAGAGCCCGACTGTCGAGCCCCTCCGGCTCCCGCGCAGGAAGTCCCGCCCTTCCGGCAGCTTATTGGCTCAAGCCCGGCTGTTCCCCGCCCTATCTTCCGCAGCCTTGGCGCTGTGGGGAACTAGAGGTGGAAAGACACCGCCTCACTTCCGGTCAGCTTCACTCCATTTCCGTCGAGGGGTCGGGACTCTCAGTTTTGAGGCCACTTGTACGCTTAGCCCGGGCCCACCCGCTCACTCAAACATAAGACACAGGATTTAAGAGGGCAGTTTCTCTTTATTGTGATAGGGAGTAGGTGAGGGGGCTGGAGAGACAGGGGGTGCCAGCCCCAGCCCCAGCCCCCTCCACTGGGGCCAGACGCCTGAGGTTGGAGAATTGGGGATTCAGTCTCTCGCCAGGAAAACCCAGTCCCGCGGAGGGTGCCGCACTGGGCGGGATGAGACCCGGGTGAGGGGAATCTTTAAATAGACAAGGAGAATTTAAAAAAAAAAAGTAGACAAGGGGGCTGAAGAGGAGAAACTGGTCTGTGCTCTAGCGCACCATGTATTCCTTGCGCTTATTGAGTCGAACTTGGCACAAAGAGAAGCCTCCCAGAAGGAGGTAGAGCCCCGCGGCGATGAAACAGTTGTAGCTGACTTGCTCGTAGAGCTTGTATATATTCTGAGGACCATTCCTAGGGATGGGGATTAGATAGAGAACGCTTAGCTGTTAAGAGCATCCAACACATTGAGCGCATGCACCGTGTAGCATTCTACTTGCCTCCTCTTTCAGTTTGGTATGTATTAAATCCAGCCCCTTCACACTGAGCTGCATCCCGGTGCTTTTTATTTTGAGATAGGATCTTGCCAAATTGCTAAATTGTCCAGGCTGGGCTTGAACTTGTGATCCCCCTCCCTTAGCCTTTCAGAGTGCTGGGGTTATAGGCTTATACCATCATGCCTAGCTGTTACAGATATCACCAGCATTCAGTCTTCTCCACAACTCGATGGGATGAGTCCTATTGTAGTGCCCCTTTGGGAGAGGTGGACTAAGTCTCAGAAAGGTAAAATACCTAAAGAGGCCACATCTAAATTGGTGGGCTTAAGATGGCTGCTAAAGCCTGATTTCCAAGACTGCTCCTAAATACATCCCATTTCCTTTTTCTTTTTTTGTGCTAACGTTTGAATCCAGGCAGGGCCTTGCAAGTTAAACACGCGTTCTACCCGTGTGCTACACCCAAACCCTAACTAGTTCTACAGAGAGCAGCTGTCCTTTCCCTGTTACCTAACTTCAGTGTCCCAAACACCCAGCCACTGGCAATTTCCCACCCATAATTCTGACCACGGGTCCAGCTACCTCATACCTGCACCCAGACCCGCTTTTTCCACCTGACCACTTACGTGAAATCTTTCTCCGTGAAGGGAACATCCTCAATCAACACAGCTGAGTGCACGTTGAAAAATATTCCGAGCATTACCTGAAAAGGAACAGGTAGGTATGGACACAGATACTAACTTCCCTAAACCCCTCCTATTTGGAATGTTGCCCCAACACCTGTGCTTGGGATTAACAAGAACGAGCTAGGAGTAGGAGTGGTTGTAGCTGGATACAGACTGGCCTCGGCCACCTCGACTGGGGCTTGAAGTGGGGACACTGAGACAAGTGCTGGTACAAAAGTGGGAATAATGAGCAAGTCGCCCTTTTAGAGAAGTCAAACTATCCTCCTCCACAGAGGCATCATTACCACGAGACAGGACGGAGGAGGTCATTGAGAACCAGCAGTTCATATTATTTCTAGAAGCGGCAGAGTAGTCTGGAGAAAGAAGGCCACAGAAACTTATTTCGGGAAGAGGCACTCCTGTCGTCCCCCGCCCCAGCCTCCAACTCGGGCATCTCTCAGGACCATAGCTCTTATTTTTAACTTGTCCACAAATTTGCCAGCTCCGGTTCCCTTTCCACGCTCCAGCCTTGCCATCCTTCCGCCCCAATTCCTCAACTTTCAATCTTATCTTTCTCTTGTTCTCCAGCGTCCAGCTAGCCAGCCAGCCCCTCCATCCTGCCTGCTGCCTTCTAAGGCACGGAGCTCCCAGGCCTTCCAGCCCGCCAACCCGGGAGGCCCTCCGGTCCCTCCGATTCTCGGTGAGCAGTCCCCTCACCAACATGATCACTCCCCAGGCGCTGAGGACGATGCCGCAGGCGGCCACCTTGGGGCCGCAGCACAGGAGCGACGCCATGAAGAAAGGAGTCGGGGAATCCGCCGAGTGCGAGCCGAGGAGCAAGGCGGTAACAGGCAGCTTGGATAAGCCGGGGTCTGCCGGCTGGACTGGGGGAGCTGCGCCAAACACGGTGGCTGAAAGGGCGTGGCCTTCGGCCCCAACCATCCGGCCTGGGGGCGGCAGCGGAGAGGGTGGACGCCTCGCGGTCCTCCACGGGCTTCAGCGAGAGAATGCGTGTCCGAAACTAAAGCCGCCTATCGGGACGCCCTTCCTGGCCAGGCAGTATGTATCTGGGGCGTGATTACTGTAAGAGCGAGGATCCAGTTCCTTTGTGTCTCCCCTTCCTCATCGGAATGGAAGGGGCTGTGTGTCACGTGACCTGGCGGGACGCGTCACGTGACTAGCAGGGAACAGTAACCCGGCCGCCAGAAATGCCTTTCTCTGCCAGTGATTCTGGTAATTTGGGTAAAAAGGCTATTAGAATAAGGGGCTTAGAATTATGATTTTTTTTTTTTTATTTCAGTCACAGTCTCAGGTGGTCCTTGTGATGGGGAAATGGTGAGACGAGAAGTTTTACTTCGAGAGCGCGCACATCTATGGTTTCTCTACTCATTCTTCGTTTTTAAAATTGATATTCTGACAAGGTAAAAGGACCTGCAAACCGCGTCTGGGGGCCAAGCATACTGCTGTGGCTAGAATGCCTGAAAATTGTGGAGGAGTTTTTGGCATTGAATATGCTTCTCTTAAAGAACATCACTTGGAATACTATAATTTGATCATTGTAATTGTAGTATTATATTCGTCCTGGACCCTGAATCCAGGAAAATATGGGGTTAGGAAAATCCACGGGAAAGCAGACTAACTGAGCAAGTTAAAATAAATGAGCAAGTCATGAAGGTGAGTGGACCTGCCATATGAAGTAGAAAAAGGAATAAGTACAACCTGTTAATTAAATGAAGTGACCTTGGATCCTTTTGATACAGGAAAATAAAAACTCCCAATGTGAACAATATCTGGGACCAGTTCGTGTTCTCTAAAATCGAAGAGTGAATTTTAGGAACAACGGAGGTTAAAAGCAGAATATATTTATTGAGGGAAAGAAAACTTCTGCCCAAGAGAGGGACAGAAGGGGGCCAGAGTGGATTGCCAAGGACCTTGCCCTTCCCAGGGACTTTACAGAGCAAAACCCTGAGGTGAGGCGGGTCCAAGATAGGGGGAAACTGGGAAATTATAAGGTGGGCATGAGGTGGGACAAAACTATGGTCAGCCAATAAGATTACAAGTATAATTATTAAGGTAAAATTGAGTAAACTGGAATCAAATAGGGAAGCGAGTCACGTAGCAGGCGGGCATGAATACAGAACAGGGGCTTTTCCTGTAGGGGGTTGGGCTAGTGACTCTTGTGGCTTTTTGATGATGGTTGCTACTTATTTAGAATATCAATCCCTGATGTTCACACCTAGGGAGGTATGTGGGTGCATTTGTTTCATCCTTTTGTCTTGAGGTCTGGCCCAGGGTATCTTATCTTGTTTTTCATGTTGGCTCCTTCCAGGGCCTTGTCCTGTCTGACAGCCTGTAATATTTCTGTCTAACTCAGCTGCCTATAACATGATTTAAAAATATGAATAGATCATCCGCCCCCCAAAAAAAGTGTGCACTGCACTAGTGGGAGACAGGTTTGTAATATTCAGGGAAACAGGGGTGTTTGAAGGTTTGTTGTTTTTTTTTGTACTTGGGGCTGAAACCACAGGTGAAGAACACAGCTGTGCACTGAGCTTGTTGTACTCATGCAGGTGAGGACAGGAACCAGAGCGCAGTCATGGGAGATCATTTTGATTCTGAGACTCCAGAACCAAACACACTGGCACGGGTTAGAATAACTTTGTGGTGTTTTTCCATTTGTTTTGCGCATATTGTTCTTAAAAGGGTTGTGCAAGAAAACATGAACCTGGGGAATGCGTAGGGATCACTGAGTATTAAATGGGCTGAGAAAGTGGACCTAAAACATGAGTTCCCTGTTTCTTTTGTTTGGAACTGTCTGGGGAAAGGAGCCATATGGGACAAAAGTTTTTCATTGTGGACTAGGAACACTGTTCTTACTCAGTGACACCTAGTACTGTGTCTGAATAGGAGCAATAAGAGTGGAGGGGAAAATCACTACGGAAGAGTCAGAAATTTGTTAGTTGGCCTCCAAGCATAAGGTCTAGTTCCTGGGAAAGAAGAGGTAGGTTAGCTGAGGTAGCTGATATCACAAACAAAACAAAACAAAACAAACAAAAAAACCCATCCTGTTTTGCAAGGAGGGTCAAGCCTTTGGCTAATGTAGGAGATAAAATCCAATTTTAGTTTATGTGCTGCCAAAGTGAGCATGAAAATAACAAAATCCAGTCAGTGGCCTGTGAATGTTGTTTAAAGCACTCTTTCTTTTTTTAGATGGTTGAATAAGCCAAGTTGTCTGACATGAAAAGTCCATATCTCAGTGTTCATAAATAAAGTTTATTGGAACACAATCACATTTACTTGCTTACAAATTGTGGCTACTACAGTGGGAGAGCAATTGTGGCAAAGATGGTGTGGCATACAAAGCCTAAAATACCTGGTTCTTTACAGAAAATACATACTGTCCTCTGGGCCAGTGGGATACTGATTAGAGGATTTAGTTGGGGGGGGGGATTAGAGCTTTAGCAGAAGAAACTTAGGAAAGCATCAAATTCAAGATAGAAATAGTCCTAAAGCAACCTGAAATCATCCAGGCACGGCATTTAGGGCTTAGATAGTGACACTGTTCTCTATGTGGCTGGGTTTTAGGTATTCATAGGGCAGGTCAAGTTGCTCATTCCGGGCTGTAATCTCATTTTCCAGGTTTCTCAGATCTGTTTGGAATTGCCTTAGCACAGCTTTGGCCTTGGGACTTGAGAAATAGTTTTCTTTGTGATGCCCCAGAGGCACCTAAAACAGAGTAAAAGATCAGTCTGTTTCTAGTCTGAAGAGAAAAGCACCTAGAGCCCAGCCTCTCGCTCTGATGTTTCCTCTCCAACTCTCATTTCCCTCTCCATAGAGTCCCTTCTTACCATATCTGGCTGACGGCGACCCAGATGCCATGTGATGGTCATTTGAAGACAGGACTGCTGGATATCAGGTAGTGACCCCATCACCGTGGCCATTGTCACATCTTCCTTGGTGGTAGGTGGGGGCATCCGCATTGTGCATGGGGCATTAGGGACCCAGGCATACCAGTCCAGCTAGGGGAAGAAACTGTATCCCTAGGACCGTAGTCCTTAGGGTTTGAATCCCCATCTCTCCCTTGGGTTTCCCAAGGTTCAGGCACTTGCTTTCAGGGACCTGGGATTTCAGCTCTTCATACCTGGCCCTGGTTGATGGCCCCATGCTGGGCAGTGCATGTGAAGATACACATGGTAAGGAAATGGCAGAGTTCATCCTGGGACTGGAAGGAGATAGGGAAACCTGGGCAGGAAAGGAACAGGATTTAGGGGATACAGCAGAAGAGAAAAGAAAGAAAGGCTTAATAGGTCTGTATTTTAGAATTGGTGAGTGTTAATTTATTTAGATATATTTGCATCAGCCAGGTTATAATCCTGGCTCAGTCACTTACAACTTGATTATCATAGGCCAATTACTTAACTTCTCTGAATTTCAACATTTTCACCTGTAAAATGATAGAGGAAATAGCAAATGCTCAACAACTAATAATTATTGGAAGGGTTAAGAGTGACCAAATGTCCCCACCTCACGAAGTTGTTAAGAATTTAGATGCCAGGTATGGTGGCACATGCCTGTAATCCCAGCACTTGGGAGGTTGAGGTGGGAGGATTGCTGTGAATTCAAAGCCAACCCAGACTACCTAGTGAGTCCCTGTCCAAAAAAAAAAAAAAAAGAAAAGAAGAAAAGAAAAAGGAAAGAATTTAGGACTGTTTCCTCCTATTACCAGACATGGGAATTACAAATCTCAGAGCTACAAAATGAGGAATAAGAGGTGTGGATTTCCAGTGTCACTGTTAAGAGAGACTTCCCACAAGTGTTATGTCAAGCTGTTCATTTCATCATAGCTGTGGGGGCTAAGAAACCCAATAATATTAGCTAAGTGGAGTAGTTGTTATTTTAAAAATGTATTTTATATATAAACTCAATATATAAGAAAATCAAGCTGGGTGTAGTGGCTCATGCCTATAATCCCAGCACTTTGGGAGGCTGGATGATTAAAACTTGAGTCCCATCTAGGCAACTTAGTGAGACCTTGTCTCAAAAATGAAAAGGGCTGGGGGTATAGCTCAGCATGATGGCTTTAGGTTTAGTCTCCAGTACTGCAAATAGTAATAATAATAATAATGAAATTTAAAAATCAAAGACCAAGGAAATTACACTGCTTGTAGGATTGCAGTTGGGAAAAAGCAGAAGCCAACCTTAAACTTGGGTTCCTGACTGATAATTCCTTCCCCTTTTTAATTTTAGTAAACTTCCTTTAAAAAATCTGTTGGGAAATGGCAAAGGTGAGCTGTGAGAACTGAGGGAGAATAAGACGGGACAGAATGAGAGGCAGTTGGTGGAGGTTAAAGTTAATACATGCAGGGGGGACTGAATGTTGGTGTCCCCCCTCAGAACTCATGCTAAAATTTAATGCCCAATGTGATGGTATCCAACGGTGAGTCTTTGGGAGGTGATGTAGTCATGAGGGTAGAGTCTTCATGGAGGCATCAGTGTCCTTATGAGAAGGGGCCCCAGGGCTATCTTTCTGCTTTTCAGTCATGTGAAGATAGAAGAATTTGGCTTTCTGCATCCTATAAGAGGACCCTCCCCAGAACCTGAAGATACTGGCATGCTGGTCTTGGACTTCAGCCTCCAAAACTGTGAGAAATAAATTTCTTTTATGTAGGCCACCCTGTGTGTTGTACTTTGTTACAGAAGCCCAAACTGACAGAGAGTATGTGAATATTTATTTTTAATTTCTGGATAGAGATGTTGTTCAAGGAGAATATGGCCAGAGAGAGGAAGAGGGGTCTTCTGGGACATGTGATGCCTAAGGGACAGGACTGAGAAGCACTGAAAAAAGTCTGGTTGGGTGCACCACAGATTCTTCAGGGACAGGCTCCCTTTAGAGCACAGGCAGTTGCTGCATTGCAAGGCCTGCCTGGCCATGGTGGCTCCTTAGTAAATTCTCCCATGGCGGCAGGGGATGAGCTTCAAGGTATTGGAGTGAAGTGTGAGGGGCAGGGTGGAAAAATGGTTCAGAGTAGTCCAGGCCAGCCCCTTTAGGTTAGATAAGGGAGGATGAGGCTGGGAAGAGCTCAAAAAGGCTATTTCTTCCCCAGAGATTAAAATGCTGGAAATGGAGGTTTATGAAAGGTAGAGGCCAGATTTTGCCTGGCGGTAGGGTTAGGAATGAAGGGAGAGCTGGATTGGCCAACAAAAGCTGACCCCAAAGGAGAAGACACTGAGGTCAGGTTGGAGACAAAGCATTTGTAGTACTGAAGTTGCATCTAGAAACAACCTTGCCGTCTGTCATAGATCCTCTGTACATGGTGGACAGTAGTAGGCAGGAAGAGAAGGGAAGGATAACCAGGGTGGGTAATCATGAGCTTTGGGGAATTTTTCCCCCATTTCTACCTTCAGTGTAAGATACAAGTAGAACATCAGCCCCAGCAGGAACTGGGCAGAACTCATCCCTGGCTGTCATTCTGGCAGGGTGCAGGTGGTTTGACTGGCAGTTGGGGGCAGAAAGAAAAGTTGATGGCCATGTCTCTGAGAAGGACAGTCGTGAGTATCTAGAATTGTCCTGAGTCTTGGAAGGTATGAATGGGAATTGGATGCTTTCATGTTCGGAGGGAGGGCTGTAATGAAGGGTTGTCCCCAGAGGGGTGGGGCTGGGACTCCTGCAGAGTTTCTCAGGAACTCCTGTTTGTGTGATGGACCTTACCTCGGTCCTGAGCTTTGCATAGCCCCACCTCAGTGATCTCCTGGCACCATGCCTGCAGCTCAGGGTCCCCCCTCACGACGTCATCCCTCTGGTAGAAGAGGTGGACAATCCCCTCCACATACCTGCCCAGAGGAGAGAAGTGAGCTCTCTGAAAGCAGAACAGTCCAGTCTCTGACCTCTGTTCTTCTGCCTGACTCTTGCTGTGCTTGGGTCAGATCCTATCAGACTTGTCTTTTGAGACATTCCCTAGGTTCTTTGTTTTGCGATGTGTGCACGTTTGCTATGGTAGGGATCAAACCCAGGGCTTCGCACATGTTAGACAGGCTTTCTACCACTGAGCTCCCTTCCCAGATTTTTGACATATTAGTGTAAAGGAAGGAGATGTAGGTTCTAGGAATTCCCTATATAGTTGCTGCCTACTCTTCTTAATGAAACACTTACTCTTCTAGATCCCTTGCTGTTCCCACCCCTGTGGCTCTCCTCAGTTGTGTACCCTGCCCCATTCTAGGTGCCTCAATTTTAGGCTCTACACACTATCTCCTTACTTTTCCTCATCTCTTCCTTGGAGAAATGCTGTTGTCCCATAGTCATCTCAAGACAGAGCCCTGCCTTTCTCCCATCCCCTTCCATTTCTCAGCTCTCACCCACCTGGCAATGATCTTCCACAGCTGCAAAGCATCGTGGGCATACAGAGCACCTGGGATTCCCAGCAGGCCTCGTTCAGCCAGGTCATCAGGAGGACAGAGGGAGCAGTAGGTCAGCTGAGCCATTGCCTGACGGAGCAACTGCACATGGCCCCCTCCACCTGAGTTTACTGCCTGAGACAAGAGTTGACAGATCTTGAGGGATAGAAGCAGGTCAGGATGATTATGGCTTACTGTATAAGAGATTCAGAGATGGCATTTTCAGATTTAAAGTCATGTATATAAAGGGACAGGACTCAGGTTAAGGGTCAGGACGTTCACATAAGTTGGGCTGGGTTCCTGAAGGTAGTAAAAAACAACAGAGAAGTGGATGATTTAGTAGTTCATACCCCATTCCTTCCTTACCTGATCAAATATTCCTCTCTCTGAGATGAGCTGGGTCCGGGCCCGGGTGTTGATTTCCATAGTGTAGCGGATATGAGGGACCAGGAGCTGGGGTGGAAGAGATGGGAGAGCAGTTAGTAGAAACTCTACGTGGGTTTTTATTTTTTATTTTTTGTCTTTTTGAATCAGGGTCTCACTATGCAGTTTAGGCTAGCCTTCAACTCACTTTGTAGCCCAGGTTGGCCTTGAACTTGTAATAATCCTGCCTCAGCCTCCTGAATGCTGGGATTATAGGCGTGCACCACCACACCTGGCCTCTGGTTGGGTTCTTATAGAGGTTGGTATCTACCATGGTGGCCTGCTAACTTCTTCCTTCATGCTTTTGTCCCTGCTCCTGCCTTGACAAGCTTGTCTCCTGTTTCTCTGATCATTCATTCTCATGTCCTCTAATTTTCTTGTAATTTGGGCTCTGGAGTCACACTCATCTAGATTTCAATTTACACTTTACCACTCTAGTAAGTGGCCAAAGTAATAATCCAATAATCTGCAATCTCTGTATCCATCAATAGAGGGCAATAATAGAATCTCTTATTCCAGAGCTATAGTGATGTCTGTGATTACGTGAGTGGTGTGTGAAGAATGTTTAGTTACACACAAGTCCTCCAATAGTAGTTGCTGTTGTTCTGTTGTCACCTTGAGTGTAGGTGCCTTTATGAAATGTTCTCTTTTGATTTTCTGTTTCCTCCATCATTCACAGCTTCTTGGCTTAAACCAGTGTGTCTACTTATCAAAGCTGCACGCTCTTCCATTGGTTGTAGTAACATTGAAGTGTTTCTTTGGGAGAGATGGCTTGGGCAGGTACTTTCGGTTAGAATTAGAGGAGCTCCATTGAGCTGCCCACCTGTGCAGGCAAGAGGCTTATTGTCAGTCCCGTCAGGCACTTAAGTTAGCCTTTCTCTTTTTTGGCTATTAAAAAAGGCCACCTACGCATGCCTGTAATCCCAGCACTCAGGAGGCTGAGGCAGGGGCATCATTGTGAGTTTGAGGCCAGCCTGGGCTACATAAGTGAGTTCAAGGCCAGCCTGAACTGTATAGTGAGACCCTGTCTCAAAAAGACCAAAAAAAAGGCCACCTAATCCTTATGGGGTTTTTTGTCTTTTTATATGTGTTTCTTTTTATCTTACCTATCTTCCTCACTACCCAATTAGTATGCAAGTTTTATCCAATTTTGGTATTTACCTAAATAGATGATGCTGGACACAGGACCAACCTAAGTTGTGATGCCTTTAACATTAATAATGTTAATATCAAAACTCATACTAGGGGCTGGGGATTTAGCTCAGCGGCAAAGCGCCTGCCTGGCAAGCACAAGGTCATGAGTTCGGTTCCTAGTACCGGAGAAAAACCAAAAAAAAAAAAAAAAAAACAAAACTCATACTAGTCTGAAACTTTTCAGAAAGCTCATAAAAGCTGCTGTTATTAAAAGCTCAAATTCCATATCAAGAGAAAAGATGCCTGAGGTCAAACAATAAGAGTTATAATAATAAAGAGCGAGAACTAATTTTTGGCAGTATTTAGTATGTGTCACATGATTGTTTTGTGTCATTTTATCCTCTAACAACCCCATGACAAACATCCTGTGGATGTGGGCATCTGCTAATTACTGAGGCTAGGACTCAGGATTTGGAGTCTCCGGCAACCAAAATCTGGAGTCCGTGTAGGTGACCATTGTGACATTTGCACACTTAACCCTCCTGAGTGTCCAGTAACAATTGAGCTGTTTGACGGGATGAAGCTGCTATGGTGAGTGGAGACAAGGTGGGGTTGAGCTAGAAAGCAGAATCATAAGGGTGAATAGAGGCTTTCCCTGTTCAAGTTAAGCAAAAGATAGTGATGGCAAAAGAAGGTATCAGGAGATAAGTAAAATCAAAGATTCTGTTAGTAAGACTGACCTGCATCTTGTCTGTGTTACCAAAGGAGTGACCTCAAAGGTATCCCAACTATATTTTCCAGGCTTGGAGGTCTAGATGGAGGCCTTCAGTGAGACAATCCAGTTGTTCTCCTTACAAATACTCACTTGCATACCTTGCTAATACTTCAAAATTCCTGTAGCTAAACCCAGTCACCTCATTTTTGCACCCAAACCAGTTTTTTTTTTAAACTTTACCATTTCTGACAGTTACTTTTTCATAAGCTTGTATCATTTTTGTGCCCTTCTGTGCCACATTTCCTATATGTAAGGTGTCATAAGATTTTTTTTTTTTTTTTTTTTTTTTTTTTGAGACAGGGTCTCACTATGCTTTTCAGGCTGACCTTGAACTCACTTATGTAGCTCAGGCTGGACTTGAACTTGCAGTGATCCTCCTGCCTCAGCCTCCTAAGTGCTGGGATTACAGGCGTGCACCAGCATACCCAGCATCGTAAGATTTTTGAGAACATTTTTTTAAGCAAGCACAGGTCTTATCTTCCTGCTTTCTGTCTAGCAATTGATGCCAAACTCACTGTTCCATAAAATTATAGTATTTCTATGTCAGTACAACCCACCTACCTTCCAGGTGTTACAGAAGCTTAGACTTTGGTGTCATCACTCTTCCATCCAGGCTTGCTACAGCTGTTTCTGTTTTTTCCCTTTTCCGCATCTTTGTTTTTTTCCCTTTTTGTTCCTGTTACCATCATTGCTAAGGTACACCTTCATCCTCCTCCCTCTTGGGTAGGTCTGGGTAGCCTGCTGGGCTGCTCTTCTTGCCTTCTGATCTGTTTCTACTTAACTGGCTTCTCGGTTGAGATGGAACATTCCACATCAGTACCACACTGTTCAGTGGCTGTCCTTCTGATTTCAAACTCTAGTTCCAGATAATGTTTCCTAGTTGGTTTTTATACACTTATCTTCCTAGCTAAATACTAAATCTAACATAGGAATAAGGCTTTTGTTTTACTAACAATATTCCAGCTTATGATACAAGCCCATTGCTAGACTGCCAGATCTTTGGGGATTTCAGAGAGCTCCCTTGTAAGGTGTCCTGAAGAAATGTTAAATGACTCAACTTGATTAAAATAAAAGTCTTGGGACATTGATACAGTCTTTTTCTGCTCTCCATTTTTTCATTGACAAATTGCTTTTTTTTTTTCTCTTTTGCTGTTACACTGTCCTTTGAACCTGAGAGATCAGCTTCTTCATTTGGGTCTGAGGAAGATGGAACAGAGGTACCTTGTAGATGGGGTGCAGTCCTGGGAGGCACCTCATGGTGGCAACAGCGATGACCTCGGCCACCAGATGAGTGTTCAGCAGATGGTATTGGAGCTGATGCAGTTGGAAATCTGCATTTCGGACCCAGGACTTGGCCAAGAGCCAGGCAAGTGGAGGATCTGAGGGCAGGAACAGTGTTGGGGTTGGGGAGCTGGAATTGGGGGGCTGAATCTGGGAGAAACAGAAATGGAGCATTCATTGAACTCCTACTGTATATATGACATGGTCAGCATTCCTGGAGAGACAGATGACTAAGTAAGACTTCTGCATTTCAGGGGGTTATATTCTAGTAAGAGGATGAAAACCATTCTACCCTGCCTCTTAGCTGTGTGCCATGATAGAGTGAAGGCAAAAGAGACTACAAGCAGGGAGTTCGGTAAAGAGGTTCAGCAGTGGTTTGGGAGAAATATGATGGGAGTCAGAAGTTAGCTGGTGGAATGGGAAGCAGCAGCTGGATATTATTGATGGTACTCATCAACTGGACCTAGTGAGAGAACAGATATTCAAAAGATAGTGGATATTGGAGTCAGAGGACACTGAGATTAAATGGCTTCTCTAAATAGATTCTCCAAGTGTAGTGCTGAACCAGTAGCATTAACATTACTTTTAACTTGTAAGAAATGTGCATCCTCGGTTCCCACCCCAGACATTTCAAATAAAAAAGCCTGGTGGTGGGACACAGCAGCTTGTGTTTTAATAAGCGCGTGAGGTGATTTGGAAGTACACTAATGTGTAGGAACTGCTGGGCACTGGCTAACTCCAAGAGGCCATTGTGAGTTTTCAAGTACTTCCATGTGGGTGAGTCAGGAGAAACTAGGCCACAAGAAGAAAGTTACATGAAGACAGATCTTAGCGTGGATGGGGTTTGGGAGCCCAAAGAAAAGGAGCTGGGTCCCTAGGAGCAGAGCTCGAGGTGAACAGAGAACACTCTTAGGAGTGAGATGTTCAGGGCACCTTACCTGGATGACCATGGGTAGCAGCTTCCCACTGGGTTCCATCTTCAGCATGACGAGGGGAGCAGCCAGGTACTGCTTCTCTCCTCGGATCACATTGGCTGGAATTCCATCCAGCAGGATAAAGTCAGCCTCAAACAGGGAACCGTTCTGGAGAAAGGAGGAGTTTATCCAGTTTTAGAGTCTAAACTTAAGAGGCAGGGCAAGGGGCAAGACATTTGAGGACATTCAGCCTAGCCCCTTGTCACTACCCTACTTCAGTCATCCCCGAATGGCTTGCTCTCTGGTTTGGCTCCCATCAGCTTGGTATTTTATCTTTTGCTTACTCTGTATACAAACCTCACTTCCTCTGCCATGTATTTCGCAGTGCTCCCCTAGCTACCACTGTCATTGAATACAGCATGCATGTGCATGTGCGCACACACGTATCCTGCCGAGGCTCGTGCTCAGATACAGTTCATCTCTTTCAAGTCCAGTTCTCTTATTCCAGGAAATCACCCTAAATCTCCCCACCTGATGGTGTAGGCTTTGCCATTTTCCCTGCCCATGAGCACCAGAGTCCAGAATTTGGACGGCCAGGAATGTTATTGTTCCTCCTAACATCTCTGGCCTCCTTTTGTTCCCTGGAGATCAGTGTTATTTCCATGTTCATGCTGAGAGAATGCAGGAAGAAGTACCTGGAGTTCTTTCTCCAACTGGGCCCGAAGCTCCTCTGTCCCTGAGGGCAGCACCAGCCTGGTGGGCAGAGAGGTGGTGCGTCTCAACAGCATGGGGTTGGCACCATTGAGGAATTGGTAGCCAAAAAGCTCATCATCCTGCCAGCACTGGTGAACCTTCTCTGTGGGGTAGGGGATGGGGCAAAGGAGGGAGGATATTTACCACAGCCTGGATATTTACCACAGTCTCTTCTTTGGACACTACCTCAGGGATTTAAAATATCTTAAACTTAGTTCCTTTCTTTTCATTCTTGAGGCATCTGTGAATATGCTTTCATTTGGCAAGGAGTTATGGGAACCATGAAGTAAAATAGATCGGTCATCAAAAGGGGCTGTCAAGGGGTTATGGAGACCCATGGGAACTACTGACCAGCCAGGGCACTCTTCTGGCCCCAGAAGATCTGATCAAAGTCTTCTAGGCGGTTCCAGTGGCTCAAGAGGGTGTAAATACGTTTGAGAACCATCTCCACAACCCTAAGACAGGTAGTGAGGATGAAGCCATCAGCTGACCCATCAGTCCCTATTTATCACCATTCTTGGATCTCCCAGCCCTGGTGCCACTCTGAGCTCCAGCCCTTTTCTCACCTCGCCTTCAGTGTACACTCGAAGTCCAGCCTCTTCTCCTCATGGAATCTCACATTTGGAGGTAAATCATCCTTACAGACTGCAGCTATTGTCAGGGGTAACCCTTCCTTCCAGGTGGCCCAGCTAGAAGTTGGGGACAAAGCTTTAAGGAGGGTGTCAAGGTCAGGGATGAGGGCAGGGTTAGAGAAAGAGTAGGGCAATTGGGACGCCTGTAGGTAGGTGTTCACCGGTAGGTCTGTTGTCTTTCCTTCAGTTCCTTCTCTCGATGCTTCTGGAAGACATCCAAGGTGTTGTCTCCTGCCAGGCGGGCTGCGGAGACATTAAGAAGATTACCTGTATTCCTCTGCCCGCCCCATCTATGCTGTCTTCTGCATGTTCTGTCTTCCTTTTTGTAGTCAGTCCCACTCTGCTGCTTTTTTTCTCAGCCTTTGCCTCACTTGATCGGTCAGACACATGTTGCCAGTCATGCATTCTGAATTTAAGTTACTTCAGCCCTCACCTCTTGCCTGAAGACAGAAATCTCGTTTGCCACCTTTTCTTGTCTTTTACCTCATCTTCTCCTACCTGACCCTATTTCATTAATATCTAAGGTTAGGAAAAAATCACCTAAAGGTCATACAGTTTAGCTACCAGTAAGCCCACACCTGTCTGTAGGTACACGTTGCTCTGGGCAGGTTCACATCTTTAACCTCGCTGCTGTAGATTGTTTGCTTTTGTTACCTGACCTCACTTTCCTCAGACTTGGAACCATAGTTTGTATTTGTTGACCTGCTGCTGCCTTTCCTGATGCATATACCTATGCCAAAGTCATGGTTCATGTTTCCATCCTCACCACCCTCTTCACACATTTGTCTCTGTAGTCATCTCTCTCTTGCTTATTTCCCAAGGTAAAACATTCAGCATTGCTGTTCTTATTCATCCTCTCTGCCTGCCAAGAGCTCTTCGTCTTTCACAGTTGTGTGCTATGTTCTCCCCAAACCAGCTCTTCGACACCACACCGTTTGTTTTCGTAGTTGTCTCCTGCTCCCAGGTCACTGTGGCCCCTGCCTTAACTTATTAACAGAGATCTGCCTGTTAACTTTGCTTATGTTCTCCTTCCTCATCTCCATCTCCGGAACCCCTGACTCTCACCTTCTTGGAAGACAGAATCTCCAGATCACAGAATCCATGTCTCCACCCTCACTCGCAGCCTCACTTGTTCTAGGTAAAACTTGGGGAATTCAGAGCTTTTCCTGTCTTGCACTTTGGGATTCCTGCTCTTCACCTGCCGTTCTCTAGCCCCTCCCATTCTACCCTGTCCCGCGGCCCACATCCCTTCGCCTGGGACCTCACTCCCCCAGCCCAGAGGCTGCCCGCTCACCCGTGCCCTCGGGCAGGCTCAGGACGCCTTCTCCCTGCACCCAGCGGTAGCATGGGAAGGCGGCTTCCTCGCAGGCTCCGGGGCCCTGCACCGTGATGCAGTCGCAAAACCAGGCGTCGTCCACCAGTGAGTGCTGTTTGCACAACTTCACGAACTGCAGGGGCCCCAAGTCTTCGGGAACCTCGAGTTCAAACTCCTCCTCCTGTTGGGGCCAGACTCGCTAGGCTTAGCAGCAACAACCCAGGGAGTTCAGAGGCCACAGCACCCCTTTGCCTTGCTAGACAGCCTTCTTACCCCCTGCCTCCTTGCACTGCCCCGAGGGACTCGGAGGCCCCTTGTTTTAGCGGGAGCCGGAGGGCGCAACGCGCTGCGCCACGGGACTTGGGACTCGAGTGGGAGATGGTGCATCCTAGTCGCCCCCACGGGCCCATTCGCTGAGCCCTCGCCAAGCTCGCGCCTGGAGGGGGCGTCACATCTGCCAGCTTTT